TTAATCTACTGATTACACACACAGTTTATTTAGAACCTGTAAGGTGACAAGATATAGGCGTTCACCCCCAACCCCCAATATCTGCATGTCCTCCACAGTGAAGATCTGATTCCTTAAAAAACAGAGGGTGTATTATAAGCCTTCAGGTATTCCTTTAAGCTGAAGAGATTTCTTAATTAACCTTTCAGCCGCTGACAGCAAGTTAACGATGATAAAACGTTAGCTTACGAATAACTTAAAAAAATCGTGTTCTCACCAAACCCTGGGACTAGAGGCTTCTTAACGCAGAGTATCACATGCACAGACCGCGTTCTTTTGGATGCGCGGTCAGACCAGGCTTCTCCGGGAAGGTGCCCCTCGGTCGTGCCCCAATGAGGAGTGGGGTGGCCCTCGGGGAAGGAAGGTTTCAGGCACAGGGCACTGTCAACAGGAAGGTTCCCTGGAGGGTTCTTGCTTCGTGATCTGTGAGGGGAGGGCCCGGGGAGGCTCCTTCGGATGATGCTCAAGGGCAGCTTCTTATCCAAAATGTTGGTGACTCCAACCACATGAAGGGCAGAAGGTGGACACCATGAAATGCGTGAGGGATAGGAGCTGAATGTAGTTCAAAAGCACCACAAACAAGCGCAGCTGGTATTACAGACGGTAAGTTTTCCAGGGACCTTCTCAGGCTCTTTTGGATGAAGCTCGGAGACTGGCGTGGTCCTAGTCAGTTTTCCCTCAGAGCGACAGGAAGTAATCTTTTATTGATCTTATTTTAGATGTGTTATCATCGTCGGTGATCTCAGAAGAGCAATAATTACTATTGTACGAAAACATACTATATAAATCAAAGGCATAAATGAATATGGAAGACAATTATGTGCCCAAATAAAAATTTCTGCCTCCCCTGTTATACTAGAAAGCTTTTTGTAAATGTAAATATTGTATACAGATGTTAAATAAATATATTCATAAAGTGTTCTGGTTTTTTTTTTTAAATAAGAATGTCGGTAATGCAAAGAGTCGTAACTTCCATTATTTACCAGTTCTCTCAGGCCACGGTCACAGCAGGGGGGCCATGATCTTGGTAGAGGGAATGAGGGTGATGGCTGAGGGCCGCCAACCAGGTAGGGTCCCTACCTGGCCATTTGACAGCTGTGTGATCTTGGACAAGGTGCACGATCTATTTGAGCCCTTGTTTCAAAATGTGTAAAATACAGTGATTCTTTCCATTTCAAATGGTTGTTGTTGACATGAAACGAGGTTACGTGGAGAACGTAGCATGTTCACAGGGAATGACGACCTTGGGTTCACTGGTGCCACCACGCACTGGCTCCTCCAAGGGTACGGCTGTGTGCAGGGACCACACACCTATGTGCCCTGAAATGTACCAGACGGCCCCGGGGTCAGCATGAGACCGCGGCAGGGCCGCCACCCTCGCCCTGGGAGGCTTGGCCTGGACAGTGCGCCCTCTGCAGCTTCACTCACCAGTCCCCTCGGACCGTTCAGAACCCGGGAGGGATGGGACCGGCCTGCTGCCAGCTGGCTGCCTGTACAGTTAGCCTAGCCAGCTTGGCTTCTAATGCTTCATTAAGAAATCTGATAATAATCTTAAAAATGGATTCTGGAGAGAATTCTTCCTGAAACAAGTTGTCACCTGGAAACTCATAACGGATAACACCATTTCAAACAAACAGGAAGCCAACTATACAATAGTTACTTTGGAGAACTGGAAAGATTAATGTTATTCACGATAGAGAAAGAGATTCCACTTCAGGCAGATTTCCTGGGCGGGGAGAAGGGTACCGATATTTCCCCCTTTATTTTCCAGTTAAAACAAAGATGATGAGCGCATTAATCAGAATCAGTAGCATTTATTCCACATAAACAACTTAAAACACAAACTGAGACCAAAAGGACCAATACCTCACCAATACCTTACTTGCTGCGGAGGCCGCACCTTTTGGAGCCCCGCTGCTGTCTATCACAGAGTCGTTTTACTGAGCAGCTTCAGACCTTCCGTGGAGTGGCTGGTGGGAACAAGCACACCCTCGTGCTGTGCCAGAAGAACCGCGGCCTCCTCCAGACAGCCAGCAGTCCTGGGAGGCTGAGTCTTTTAACCGAAGGGCACGGATGCTGCCTTATTGACGTCATGAGAGATTCAGTGCGTCAGGATGACAAACAGTTCCCTGTCGGACCAAAGAGAGACACCGGGCCAAATTTAAAAACAGCCTGCCTGGTTGTACTGCTGCTGCTACAGGTTACTAAATGACCTTACAGACACACAGGTCCTCTAGGGTCTAGCAGGTGTGCAAACACACTTAATAACCAACATAAACGGAATCGGTAGAGCAGGCTGCTCAGTCCCATGAAAAAGTAATAATGAACCCAAAGCAAGGTCTTGGGTTGAGTCTCCGGTCAATTGCTATTGTTGCATGACCTTGGACGTGGTCATGCTAGTTCCCAATGCACTCACTCATCTATGAAATGGGAATGGTAACGTTTATCTCCGTGGCCTTGCAGCATCATGGTGGAATAAAAACGTTGCGTGTGGAGGTGCCGTGAAACCACAGGAGAAACTGCCGTGTGCACGGCATTGTTATCACCGATTTTATAGGGCTTACCGAACACCGTGCCCTTAGACTGTACTGGCAAGCTGACCCCTGACAGATGCAAACCCATTACCGAGTCGTACCCCGTGGTCTCCGGCTGTTTCCATCCTCGGTTGAGTGAGCGGGCCCATGCTCCCCTATCTGCATACATCCTTGGTAGGGGGCGTTTCTCCAAAACGGGGAAGAATCTAGCCCCCACCCCACCCCCTCTGTGCCCACATACCCATAGGCCCAAACTCGTCAGTCAACATTCCTAAAGCAAGAAAGAGCACGCATGCCGACACCTCTGTTCTGGTTTCTCCACCACGTCAGGACTCTTTACAGATGCGAATGGTCAGGGCCTCAACTCCCGTGCTCTGTGTGTAACAGGAAGTATTCATTTGCTGTTAGCTGAGCACTGTGATGCCATGACATGAGGTCTTAGTGTGGAAACACGTGAAATACCGTCACCGCTCCAAATTGGAAGACCAGGAAGTTGAGACTTGGAGAAGTCAAACGACTTTCCTGAGGTTACACAGCTAGCCAGTAACTATCAGAGATGGGACTAGAACCCATGTCTGCAGGCCTCCGAGGGACATGGTCTGACCACTGAGCATGGGTAATCCAGAAGCTGAGCAAACTCTGGAATAACGTCATTATTTTGAATGTGTTTTCCATGGTTTCTGGGCATCCACATCAAATCACGCTTTCCTTTGGCTGAATGGTGATTCCATTCTGTACCATAAGCTTCTTTTCAGTTTTTGGGGGGTGGGCGGGTGGGGGTCTTCTCTTTAGAAGAGAAGGAAATAGCCCTACCATAAAATAATTCATTTACTGTATTTGTAGACAAAAATCATTTGGGGCGCATAACGGGTACTAAATATGTACTTCCTGATTACTAGATTCGGATTCTTGGAGAGGCAACAGCGATACGTGAAGGAGAGCAGAGACCAAGGGCAGAGATGTCACCTAAAGGCCATTACCTTCCCATTTGTTGAAGGCAGTGAGGATGCAGAAGTTAAGAAGCCAAGTCTGCCGTTTTCTATCTCTGCATCCTTAAATGAACTACTTAGTCTTCCTGTGCCACGGTTTAGCCTTGACTGTGAACCTAAGGATGACGGTGTGTGTGCGGTGAAGTTGTGAGAATGAAATTAGTTCGCACAGCGCGGTGTTGGTGATGCCGGCATGTGATAAGTGCATAATAAATGTAGCTGTAATCATTTGTGATTTTTCTCTTAAATCTGAGAATGCAAAGTCCATTAAAATGAGATGTAAGGTATGTTAGATTAATTAATTTCAAAAATAGAAAATTTAGCCCTTATCACCCCTTCATTTAGTCCTTTTTAACCACTAAAGCTTGATTTATTTCTTTAAGTGTTTTTATTGTTGTTCAATTTCGGTTGTCCCCATTTTCCTCTGTTGCTCTCCCCTGCCCTGCCCACCCCCCTATCATTCAATCCTCCCCCACGTAAGCTTAATTTAAATAACGAAATTGAAACTTGACAGATTGCAGATCGCACGCTTGCATCTACTCCCATTCACTTCCGAGATCACTGAAACGGCAGGAAACAACCTTTTACAGTAATAAACCCACAAGGATTTGGAGGATAAACAAGTTGGACCATCACTACAGAACAGGACTTAGAACCGTCTGGCACCGGCGACCGAATAGAAGGGCAGGAGGCAGTGTGGAAGGAAAAACACACCTGAGCATCCAAGAGATACGGGACAGAACCGAAAGGTCTACCTGTGTGTACCTGGCATCCCAGGGAGAAAAGGTAAGGAGAAATAGCACAGAGAATTTTCAAAAATGAAATGGCAGAGACCAAACAGCAGTTCCAAGACACTCGAAAGAGTATCAAGAACAATAAAAGCTCCCCTCCCCAAAGGACCCTCATGGCACAGGCATATCCTGTTCAAACTGCTGAGTACCAGAGACCAAGAGAAAATGACGAAGGAAGTGGGAAAAGACACGTTCCACACGGAAGAATAAGAACGAACAGTAAGAATTACAACAGACTTCCCACGAGAAACTTTGATGAGACGGAAGGTAACGGAATGGTATCTCTGTTGCCGAACAATAACAAAAACTTGTCAAGTCAGAATTCCACACCCAGCAAAAATATCTTTCAAAAAGGAGGTAGAAACGCAGACTTCCCTGAACCAAAATCCAAAACTAAAATTAAAAAAATATATATCTGAGTGAATTCATTGCCAGTGGACCCACACTAGGTAATGTTAAAAAAAAAAAAAAACAATGAACAATAAAACATTCTTCGGGCAGAGGGAATATAACAGCAGACAGAAATCTGTACCTACACAAAGGAATGAAGAACACAAGACAAGAATAACTAGAGGTAAGCGAAGCTTAGAACTCATTTTTTTATTCTTTCATTGTTTTGAAAAATAATATTTAAAGCAAAATAGGAGTATTGTGTTTTTACAGCCAATGTAAGAGTAAATATGTAGCAACAGCAGAACAAGAGTGGGAAGGAGAACTGGGGACACGTCGTGGTCCTTGTACTAGACATGGAACAGAATATTATTTAAAAGTAGACTTGGATTAAATAAGGTATGTATAGTAAGTCTTAATGTAACTACTACATTTTTTCAAAAGAGGAATGAATACATGATAATTCCACAGTGGAAATAACATTAAATCATAAAATATTTTCAATTAATCAGAAAAAAAGGCAAATAGAAAACAGCTGGTTAGATGGTAGATTTTAATTCAACCATATCAATAATCACATTAAATATAAACCATACTAAATCAAACATAGATCGTTAGATTAGATAAAAAGCCAGACCAAACTATATGCAACCTACAGAAATACCACTTTAAATAAAAAACATAGACTGGGTAAAAATAAAAGTAAGAAAAAGATACACCACACAGACAATACTCAAAAGAAAGCTGAAAACGCTTTTTTAAAATCAAAGTAGACTTCAGACAAAAAAATATCACCAGTGATAGAGGGCTGTTACATAATTTCCCCCAAAGACAAAAACATTCATGATTTTGTGCCTATAAATTCAACAGTTTAGAGCAAATGAACAAATTCCTTGAAAAGCACATCTTACCAAAATTACCCATGAAGAAATAGAAACCTTTGAATGCCTTCATATGTATTTTTAAAATTGAATTCGTAATTAAAAATCTCACAACAAAGAAAAGCCCAGGTACAGGTGGCTCTCCTCATAAATTTTATCAAAGTTTTCACAAAAACCCCAGAATCAGCGTTTACACAAACTCTTTGAGAAACACAAAGGAAGTACTTTCTAAGTGATTTAACAAGGCTGGCATGAGGCTGGTGGCAAACCCGACAAAGACATCACAAGAAGAAAAAATCATTGACCGATATCTTGTGCAAATAAACATAAAGCCCTCACTAAAATGTTGAAACTCTAAGTTTGGTATCATATGAAAAGGATTCAGGGTATTTATAAACAGGGCTTATGCCAGGATTGTAGGATGGGTTTCACATTAGAAAATTAATATTCGTAATTCATCACATTAACAGAATCAAAGAGGAAACAATAACATCTCAAGTGATACAAAAGCATTTTGGGCAATATTTCACACCCGCTAATGAAAAATGTCTGAAAAGACCAGGAAAGGGCATTCTGTCAGCCTCAGAATGCGCATGTCAAACCCCGCGGGTTCATGTCCGTGTTGATGGTGGACCATCGAATGCTCCCACACCCTGGAGAAAGACGCCGCTCCGTCCACTTCCGCTCAGCGGTGCACCGGAGGTCCTAGCTAGCACGACAATGGAAGAAATAAAAAAGTCGACAAGTTAAAAATAAAAAAGCAAAGTGGTTTTTCTTGCAAATGCCATGATGGTACATAGAAAACTTCTTACAAAACATATCCGCATCACCCCCCCCCCCCCAACTATCAGAACTGAAAAGCACGTTTAGGAAAGTCACAGGAATCAAGGTCAACATACAAAATTTAAATACATTTCCATTTTTTACCAGCAAACAATTAGAAAGCAAAAGTAAAAAGTGATTTACTTATACTCTCAGGAAAAATATACACTACTCAAAAATAAATTTTAAAAAGGATATGTATAACATATTCTGGAGACTACCACATATTGCAGAAAGATGTTAAATAAAAAATTTAAAACATAACACATGCTTATGGATTGGAAATATTAATATTGCTAAAGTATTGATGCTCCTCAAATTGATCTATCGATTCAGTGTAACCCCAATCAAAATTCCAGGAGGCTTTTGGTAGACATTAACAAGCTCACTGCAAAATATATATGAAAATGCAAAAGACGAACTGTCAAAATCACCTTGAAAGTTTTGAAGACTTATGCTGCCTGCTATAAAATCACAATGAGTACGACACTGTTATTTGCACAAAGATAGACCAACAAATCAGTGAAACAGAACTAGGTGCTGAAACATATCCCCATCTGTTTTGTGTATGGTCAGTTGATTTTGAACAAAGGTGTACGTGCACACATGCACACACACGCAGTGGGGACAGAGAAGTTCTTGCAACAAATGATGCTAGAACAATTGGATACCCATATTTATAAAACAAAACAAACACCCACGACCGATACCTTTCACCACACACAGAAATCAGAGAGAGACAGAAGGACGATGTGGATGTACAATTAGAAACTGTACAGCCTCAGTGTTTTCTGAAGCTGATTTCTTTCTTCTGAAAGAAAACAGGGAGTATCTGGGTAAACTTGAGGTTGGCAAAGATTTCTTGGACAGGATACAGAAAGCACTAATCATAAAAAAGATCATAATTCAGACATAATCCAAGGTCAGGTTTTCTGCTTATCCAACAACACCATTAAGAAAATGAGACAAGACACAGACTGGGAGAAATGTTTGCAAGCCTATTTCTGACAGAAAAAAACCTCGTTATCATTTCGAACAGAGAAGACCTTCTAGAAATGAACAACAAAAAGACAACTCAATAGCCCCAAACTGGACACCACTGAGGTTAACACCACCAAGTGAGTTTATAAACCAACGGTGGCAATACTCGGACAGTGAAATGCTGTTTGGTAGTGAAAAGAAGTTTCTGCATGGCTCTCAAAGACGTCATTTGGACAAAGTACCTACCGCACGATGCCGTAGCGAGCAGGTAAATCGGACCTGCAACGACGGAACATGATGAGAGACATACAGAGCCGTACGTGACCGCTGCCTGGGGGGGAGGCTTGCCAACTCAACAAGGGGACTTTCCGGGGGGGAGGAGACATTCCACAGTGTGACTGGTGTACAGTCGCACGGGTGTGCTCACTTGTTAAAACACCACTGAACTGCGCCTTTAAAATCTGTGCATTTCATGGTGCATAATGTACACCTTGGTTTTTTTTAAAAAGGGTTTTTTAAAAAAATACCTTAATTATAAGTGAAAAGAGCAAGTCACAACAATATAATTCCATTCATACAACATTCAAAAACAGGCAAAGCAAATAACCTATTTCTCACTGTGAAATTATTTTCTAAAGAATCTGCCATGAGAGCTGAAAGTGGTTTCCTTGGGGAGATGACTGCTTCTCTCACACAATTAGGGACTATTTGACACTTTAAAATCCAGGCATATGTAACTTCTGTGCAAATAAAGACCACACACACACACACACACACACAAAGATCGCACCCATTTGCAAGTTAGTGGTGTTGTTGGCTGCGACAGAGTTGCTGACACTCATTTCAAATAGGAAACTGTTTCTGATGGGCGCATCTGGCGCGACCGGGGCGGTGAGGGCCAGGAGACTCAGTCCATTTGCCGTTGGTTGCATAATGCGGGCCACCTTGTTACTTACTAGCCAAGCATAAAAGACAGGGGGGGACTGGGCCCATCGAGTGTGACAAGGCACGGGGAAAGTGTGCATCACATTAGAGTAGGAGAGTGGGACTGTGACAGAAACCCAATCTGTACTCCCTAATTACCGCGTCTCACGTTTACCAAGCTGACACAAATGTTAAGTCACATTAAAGATTGTCTAATTAACCGGCATACACAAGACTCGCAGGCCAGCGCCTGGGCACTACTCAGTAGAACAAAATGGGACGCCAGGACCTGCGGATCCTCGGCCGGCCGGGACCCGCCACAGCCGGCAGGCGGCCGCTGCTACAAGGTCAGGCCGTTCCGTTTTCTCGCGCCTCTCCTTCCAGGGCTCTGCTTGTAATATTTACAGGAAAAGGCAATGCTGGTAAACAGTTTCACACAATGAGGTGTGAGAGTTGATAGGGTCCTCATTCAAGCTCTGAACTCCCCTGATGAGCTGCCAAAAGTTGTTATGAATGGCCCAGCTGACAAGGTGATGACTGATAAAGGGAAAACAAACAGCCGGGTAATTCCTGAAAACACACTGCGCGGAGACAACTCCGAGTGGCGAGTGACAGTTAAGATAATGGAATTCTGGAAGCTTTTCTTAAGAGGTCTTCTCTATACAATTATTCTGTTAATAGATTCTCCCTTAATGTGGCTGGACCTTCCGCTTTTCCCACCGAATAATATTTTATTATGATCGCTGGCAGAGAGGCGCTGGCCCTGGACTTTCAGAGAATGGTCAGTTTCTCCCACAATCTCCTCTTCCTGGGGCAGCATGGTTTTAGCTGAGGTCTGGGCCTGCCATTTAAAGACATAAAAAGAAATCCTATTTGCATTTCTATTACTGGAAACATTTCAAAGCAGTCTCCCATCATTTCTTTCATTCATTTGCCGCAAGCCTTTGATTAGAAAATAAATATTGGTTTACACACTCAGCTGCTAATATTTTAAAGGAGAACAATTTAAATGTGGCAGAAGTCAATTTCCAATTCAGACAGCCTATTTGGGGTTCATTTTCTTAAATCAGGCATGACCAAGCAAGAAAGTATCAATCTGTTAACGCTTTTGCCTTTGTAACCAATAGTTCTCCATGAAGTTCGCTGTGGTTTCTGTAACAATGGCCTATTTCTCAATTAAGGTGTTAGGAAGCAGAAATATAGACACACATAAAGCATGCGCATATGTACACGTAAGTACTATGAGAAAAAGAGAGAGAGGCTGCGCACAGGGGTGGGGAGGTCAGGTGGGGAGGGGAATGTCCAGGAGCCGCGCGTTTTCATCCGGGCTGCCCTGGAGTCTGGGACAAGCAGCCCATTAGGAATGCAGAATCTGAGCCCCTCTGCCCGCGCCCCCTGCCCACCAGGATTTGCATCCTAACGAGATCCCAGGTGAGCCGTCTGCACCTCAAGTCTTGAGACGCCCTGTAATCTAGATAACTGAGTTTTCCTTAACAGTTTGAGTTTTCTAGCTGTAAAAGCTTACTGAGTCTGGTGACCCATGTTTTACAAAAAGTTGACAGCTATATCGTCAAATAGTTAAAGCTGCCTCAAAGAGTTTTAATGTCTTCATATTTTGAAGGGCGATTTGGTCAGCTCTATCAAAACTGTGAATGAAATGCCCTCGAACCCAACACGTCCACTGCTAGGAATCTAATCTAAGAAAATACTTACAAAAGTGCCTGGGGTGAGATGGGTGGGGATACACAGTGCGATGCTGTCTGCGGGACTGGGTGTCTGGAAGTGACCTCGAGGAGCACGCCACTGGGGACCGGACGTCCGAGACAGTGCGGCCGGCAAGGGGACGAGCCGACACAGAATGACCTCGGAGGTGGCCCAGTTATTCTACACGTACATTGGTGTGCAATTCATACCACCGCTTTCCTGGAAATGCAACAACCGGCTACGAGTGTTCACCTTTGTGGGAGGGACGAGGGGTGGGAGAAAGCCTTTCACTTTAGTTACATGTTCAGCCCTATCTTAGGAATTTTCTAGAAATGTGAGCGTGTGCGTGGGCACACATGTATGTACAGCATGCATGTGACCTAGCAGCTCCTCGGCATTGAGGTCATACACCGCTGTGTTTTTATTAAGGTCTGGATGTGAGAATATCGGGGAAAACTCTTTGAAGTGAAATCATCTTCCACGAGCTCATCTCTACCATCGAACTTCCATAGGCGAGGAGATTTCTCAACCACAAAGTAGCTAGATTTCCCCAAGAATTGCCCAGTTCTCTGGAGCAATACTGACAACATTTTTGGAGGTCATGAGAAGCTCTGAGAATCTAGTAAAAGTATGATAAAAAAAAAAGCGTAGTTGCAGACAAAATTCTGGGTCCACTTTGGGGGGGTTACAGAACCCCTAGTCCATGGATTGTGGGAGATCCAGGCCCCGAGGTTAACAATTAGCTGCCCTAGAGAATCTCAAGGTCAGAATGGCACTGACTCTATCATTTCACGCACAGCTCCTTTTCAGACTAGTCAGGCTTCGAGACTCTGCCAGGGGCTGCTCCTCTGGGCAAGCTGTCCTGACTCGCCCGTGCCCAGCTCAGCCGAACCCGGGGCCTGCTTTGGCAAGGCCATCGCGCTCCATGCTTGTCTCTGGGATGCATGGTGCCTGTTGTGCTGGGTTGTAGCTGTTTGTTTGTCTGATTTGGCCTCAAGGTGCTCAGCTCCTACTGGGTAAGTACTGGTTTTACCCATTTTTTTTTTTCGACATCCGAAAACAATAAAAAATGACAATAGACACGTGCATGGATGTCTCATGTAAACTACTAAATCTCTGTGCACAACCACCAGCAACGCAGGTGTGACCCACCCCGGCAGCACAGCCATCTTTCTGGCCCCACCGCACCATGGGCGCTGTGCCTCTTGGAGTCACGCAGTAGACGCTCTAAGGGGACTGCATGGACCTCACGTGTGATGTCCCCAGTCCAAGGCTCTG